CGGAAGGCGCGAGGTCTTCGGCCCTGATGTGGAACGCCTCTCCAGGCCTCAGGTGCAGCTGCTAAGACCAGGGGCACCGCGAGGGCGCTCTGAATCCGCTGCCGGGCCGGGAGCTCCATCACCACTATCGCCACCACCAACAAGGGCTGGGCAATCGAGATCGCGGCGGCGCCAACTTGCGGAAGCTCTGGAGGGCGCGACGAGACTGCGGCATCAGCTCACCCGACGCCTTGTTCAGGCCCGCGAAGAAGGTCGCGCCGCGCAAGCCCAGGACCTCGCGCTCAGGTCCTTGCCGTCGAAATAAAGGTCGTCGAGCCGCAGCGCGATCGCCTCGCCGACCAGTTCTTCCGTCGCCAGGGCCCGGCCGTTCACCCGCGCCAGGAAGTCGCAGAAGATGTCCCGGTAACGATCGCGCGCCCCCGGCTTGACGGGCGCCGCCTCCAGCGCCGTCGCGCCGGGTAGCCGCGCAGCACTCGCCTGCCGCGCAGTCGCCCGCGCGGCCCGCTGGTCCCTCGTGGCGGAGGGGCCCGCCCGAGCCCGGGGCCGCGGCCGCGGCGGCCGGGCGCCGCCGCGCGATGCGCCGAGGGCGCGCCGGCACCACTCGAGCAACTCCCGACGACGTAGGTCGGCCCAAGGGCGGCAGTAGCACCTCAGCTGGCTGCGGGGCCATCGCCCGAGGGGTTGCCACGCCCCCCTGGGGCCTGCGGAGGAGCACCCCCGCCCGCAGCCCCTCGGCCGGCAGGGCCAGCGGCGGGCGCCGGAGCCGCCCGCGCGGGCATCGCGCGCGGCCGGCGCCGAAAGCGCCGCGGGGCGCCGACGCGCCCATGAGGGGCCGTCGGCTGCGCTCCACTCCGACGGGAGCCAGCGGTAGTGGAGAGCGAGCCAGTCGCCAGAGAGCGGGCAGCGATGCTCTGGGCAACGTTAATCATGACCCGACTCCCGCTGCGGCTTTTAGATGCAGCGCCAGTCAGCCACGCTCATCGAATAACGAGACGCTTTCCGTTTCCGTGATTCTGGCGACTTCGAAAGAGATGCCTATTGCCGAAAAGAATAGCGCGGGCTTCGAAAACAACGATATTTCCGCCTTCCTGTCGCAACTCGTCCTGGCCCACCACCATCCAATCCTGCTCGATCATCTCCCCGGGAACTTCCGGAAAACCGCCTCCACGAGCCAAGCCCCCAAATCCACGCACGTCGCCAGGGGTGTCCGCCCTAGCAGAGGGGGCCTCCAGAGCACCAGAAGCCTTCCGATCGAATCCAAAATCCTGAATGTCGTCGGGGCCGCGCATCCACGGGGCTGCACCTTCAGCCGGCCCGTCGAGGGCCGCGGCGGCACAGCCCCCACTCCTTCGCCTCGACCGCGATAACCTCGTCTCCTCAAGCAGCCCGAAGATCTCGATGAAAAAAGCGGAGAGATGGAGCCCCACGCGCCTAGTTCATGCCGGACAGAGGCCCGCGGGGTTTCGTCGGTGTCATGACGCTTGTGAATGACGCCATAGCAACTCCGGAACAAACTGAGGCCTTCCCGCCGAACCAAGGAAATAAAAAACAATATGGCCGAGATCTTCGAAGCTTTTCAACGCCCCGACCTCGCGCCCGACCGCGAGCGGGAAAAAAGTGCGAATGGCAAGCCGAGCGCGCCGCAGACGCTCCGGAGAAGCAACGAGTCGCCCAGTCCTCCGATCAATGATCCAGCCCAACAACTTGGCGGCGGCACTCTTCCCATCCGCGATCCTCCTCATGTGCGACGAGACAGACTCTCCGGAGCCGCCATGGCAGACGACGCCGATTGTCTCACATTGTCCCTGTTGGACGGGATCGCTATGAAGTTGTCCACGTACTGCGCGTGGCACGGCTGGCTAAGGTCGGGGCTGCAGGCCTCGTCGGTGATGCTACGCGGGGATTCGGAACCAGCTGCCTCAACCATCCTCTCGTGAATCTTCTGGCATGCCCATAGGGCCCAAGGCCAAACCATTGGAACGACGGCAAGCCTCGGATGGACTTTCTATCCAGCCCGCGCAGGCAGAAACGTGAACTATTTTCTGAGCGGCTCGGGGAGGCCCTCGTAATGGGACGCGTCGCTCAGATCTGCACCAGCGACGAAGATGTCATCGTCGGCGCCCAGCCCCACGGCCTCGAGACCCGCGCCGGCGTAGAGAAAGAGAGAGAGAGAGAGAGAGAGAGAGAGAGAGAGAGAGAGAAAGAAAGAAAGAAATAAAGAAAGAGAGAGAGAGAGAGAGAGAGAGAGAGAGAGACCCCCTTCCCAGCCTCCGTGAAATGACAGTTGGAGCGCCTGCGATCTACGACAAGCCAAAGCTTGCCATTCTTTTTGGACGCGACAAAAGGATCCACCCGCCCCCCATCATCGCGCGTAAAATCGAGCATTCCCCGGGCGGCCAGCGCCGCCATGAAGACTTCGAATGCGCGAGGGCGTCTAAGCTTGGGGCCGGAGCAAGGAGAAGCAACGCCTGAAGCCCGGAGTCTGGCTCGCGATTCTTCC